AAAAAAAAAAAAAAAAGAAATCCTCAGTTTCCAACTGATTACAGATGGTCAATAAATACCTCCTATTGAAATACATAAGATTACACTAAAAGTAATACTTACGTTGAATAGAGTTATAAAATTCCTAATTATGATTTTAATTTTTGAAAAACAAAAGGAACAGGTATTTTCTAACAAAGAAAGGGTGACTGCACATAATTCAAGCTAACTGCAGAAAAGCTTAATATGAAGGAATCTATGAACAAACCACTTACGCTGCAAAAACTTAGCACCCCAAAAAGGAGAATTTTTCCAACATGAAGCCATAGCATACTACAATGGAAGGAAAACATATGGCTATCTAGTAATTGAAAAAAAAGTTGTATTTCGGAAATTTATTGAAAGTTCAGAGAAAACATTCTTTGGAGCAAACTAAACACGAGAAAAGCCTGTAAACACTAGAGTGCTTGCTTCCTTTCATTCTGACATATGAGACAGCAAGAAGCAGGCTGGGGGCTGCCATAATCCCAGCATTTTGGGAGGCCAAGATGGGTGAAATTGAAATTTCCTAGCATTACAGTGGAGCTATTTCTTTCAACTCAATGAAATTAAGCAAGAAGACAAGATGAATCTGAACAAAGCCTCCAGAATATGGAATATGTGAACAGACCAAATCGACGTTTGATCAGTATACCTGAAGGTGACAGAGAGTATGAAACCAAGTTGGAAAACACTCTTCACATTATCTAGCAGACCTTCCCCCAACCCAGAAAAGCAGGTCAACATTCAAATTCAGGAAACAGAACACCACAAATAGCCTTCTCAAGAAGAGCAACCCCAAGACGCATAATCATCAGATTCACCAGGGTTGAAATGAAAGGAAAAATGCCAAGGGCAGCCAGAGAGAAAGGTCGTGTTACCCACAAAGGGAAGACCATCAGACTCATGGCAGATCTCTCGGCAGAAACCCTACAAGCCAGAAGAGAATGAGGGCCGTCATTAAAGAAGAAAAACAAACCAAGCTGCATAAGTAAAGGTGAAATAAAATCCTTTACAGACAAGCAACTGTTCAAAGAATTTTTGTCACCACCAGGCCTGCCTTACAAGAGCTCCTGAAGAAAGCACAAGACATGGAAAGGAAATGAGCCAAATTAAAGACAGAGACTGGCAAATTGGATAAAGAGTCAAGATTCACCGGTGTGCTGTACTCAGGAGACCCAGATGTTTACAGAGCTCAAAGAAATAGCTCCACTGTAATGCTAGGAAATTTCAATATCCCACTTCAATAATGGATAAAACAGCAAGACAACTGATCAATAAATAGAGGCTTGGGTGCATGGCTCACACTTGCAGTCCTAGCACTTTGGGAGGCCGAGGACAGGTGTTTGATACCAGCCTGGCAAACATAGTGAAACCTGGCAAACATAGTGAAACCCCATCTCAAAAAAAGAAAAAAAATTAGCTGGGCTTGGTGGTGCACAGCTGTAGTCTCAGTTACTCAGGAGGCTTAGGCAGGGTAATCACTTGAACCCAGCAGGTAGAAGCTGCAGTGAGCTTGCACCATTGCACTTCAACCTGGGTAACAGAACAAGACTCCATCTTAGAAAAAAAAAGTAGTAATCAGTGGCTAAAACAAATAACAGTGAACTTTAAACCAGAGGCCTTATGCTCCCCACAACAACCTGGGGACCCAATACAGGGTCTTTCTGCTGACTGTCTTCCCACTCAGCTGAGAAACCATCCCAGAAGGACCACCTACACCCTTGTGACACATACCAGTAAAGTATGGAAGAAGCACAACTGAAGAATGGCGGAGGGACCTTGTGAAATAAGAAGAAATGCATATATTGCTCTCTTCTCCGGTTCCTGACCAAGAGCTCTGAAGACCTTGGGATGGCCCGGGTGATGGGAGCATGATTTGTCCTCATGAGGCACCTCTATGGTCTCCTGGATGGGTTGATCAGCAAGACCAGGCCAGGCTTAGAAGCATAAACCAGTCACTGCCATCCATCATCTTCCAGGAAGGGGAGAGGGGCTGCAGAGTGAGTTAATATCAAACATGACTACTCTGTGGGACGAGAGCTTCCAAATGCTGAACACATGCAAGTGCCTGGGGCATGCACGCCTGTTGAGTCTCCCCACAGTCCTTGTGTGGAGCACAGCTCACTGCAAAGATACCTCTGGAATTAAGTTCACTGTTACTTGTTTCAGCCACTGCTACTTTCATCTAGGACATTTCTATATATTGCACATGATCGTGGCTTGTATTTAGTCTTTGTGTTCTTTGTTGTATATCAATAATGTGTGGAACTGTTACATCAGAGAATGACTACTGATTCACAGGTTAGTGCCTCCCCCTGTGGATCTCCGCCTCTGGCCGTCCATCTGTGACCTGTGAAACATCCTTCATCAAGAACCTAAGAAGGTGTTTCACTGAGCTTTGTTGGCTGCGCTAGCAAAGTAATCAAACCCAACAAAAAGGTTGAGGGAACCCAACTCACAGCTGGTTGGTCAGAAGAAAATGTGACCATCTACTACTTGCAACTGGCATCTGAGGCCGGAGGCTGGCCTTGCCAGCCTGGGAACTCAACCCTTCACCTGTGAAATCTGACTCTAACTCCAGGTAGGCAGTATCAGAGCTGAATTAAACTACAGGACATTCAGTTTATGTCTGTCCAAGATTTGGATGTGGTTGGGGAAAATACAGAAGGGAGGCATTCTGTGCTCAGTGGCATGTGAGAGTAGAAAAAGCACTTTTGTCTTTTCACCTTTTTAAATCTCAGTCTTATCAACTTACCTGGCATAATCTCTATATTATTCTATCCTTCATCTCCTCCCCAAAGGAAAAGAAAGAGTGTGGCTTATGGCTCAGGCCCATGCCAACCATTTTCATTGGTAAGACCCTACTCAACCAATAGGGGCTGCTGCCATCCCCCTAGGAAGAACCAGCCTGAGAATACCAGCCCACAGATCCAAGGCTGAGTATCCGGTCCCCATATGGTCACTTGCCTTATTGCAGCCCTTAACAAGGCCACCCATAAGGCTGTACATTTTGAAAAACTCAAACTTCCCAAAAGGCAGATGAAGCTTCACTGCTACAACAAGGGGCCTCCTTCCAAGGGAACTGGATAGTCAATGATCAAAAACTCATCTTCTCTGAAGAACAAACCAAGGAAATTCTAACATCTGTTCACCCATCCTTCCATATCGGTGCACGCCCCCTGCACCTTCTCCCCCCACCTACTTACCTCGAGGACATAACCTCAAACTCTCATGTATGCTCTGCACTTCCTCTCAAGGAGCCCTCCACGCTCCTTGTCCCCACACATGAGCTAAGAGGATCACTCCCAGGAGAAGACTGGCAAGCAGACTTCACCCACATGCCTCCTGTCAGAAAAAGCTAGCTTTCTTCCTAACCTCATAGATACCTTCTCTGGGTGGGTAGAAGCATTCCCCACTTCCTCAGAAAAGGCTGCAGCCGTTTCTCAAATACTTTCTACAGAAATCATCCCTAGCTGTGGTCTGCTGCGCTCCATTCAATCAGACAACGGCCCTAGCTTCGTCTCCCAAATCACCCAACAAGTCGCAGTCTCTCAGCATCCAGTGGCACCTCCATATCCCATACCGACCCCAGTCATCAGGAAAAGTTGAAAGGGCAAATGGGATCCTTAAGACTCAGTTAACCAAACTCACTCTTGAAGTCCAGCAACCCCGGACCTCCCTTCTGCCCATACTCCTAGCCTGCATCAGAGCCAGCCCAACAGCAACCTCCTTATTCAGCCCACTTGAGTTCATGTACAAACACCCTATCTTCATACAAAACAGGCCCCTTCCTCTCAACTCTCCCACATCTGACGCCTCCTCCGTGGACACGGTGACCAAGGCCTCATGAAGGCCCGGTTAACCAGGCCCTCCTCTCAGGAGAATGTTTTCCTAAAGACCTTGATCCCATACGCCTTAACCAAAATGGGAAGGCCCCATTCAGGTTCTCCCCACAACCCCCGCTGCAGCCAAACTCTTAGAACACACTTCTTGCTATCATCTTTGCAGGTTAAAAAGGGACCCCGAGGCCCCCACTGGCCTGTCAACTCCCTCCTCGCGAACCACCCATCTATACTCAGCATCAAGCTGGGCCAACCCAACTCCACCTCACACCAATTCCAGAGCAACCCCACCAGATAAGCAAAACTACCCTCTCTTTGTTCCTGCTTCAGAGACCCGGCAAACAACTGTTGGCTGTGCCTCCCCATCTCGGACACTGACTACATTGCCAACCTCGTCCCCACCCAAGATTGGCTACATACCAAAGTAACCTATCACCCCCAGTTTCAACTAGGCGGACCTTTCCAATGTGATTTACAACTAATAGGCTTTCTGAATCCTTTCTGGAGCATATCAAACCCCTAACCTTCACCAGACAGGCAGCTCTCTTTCTCCCCACATTAAGCACACCCAGCCCCTAATCCCCATTACCACACAGACAGCCCTGCTCCCTCAGATCCCACTGTGCTTCCAATGCCACTTCCCGGCCAGCCATTACTTAGGCCACCTGCTCCCACAGCAGTGACTTCACCCCACAACTCCAATCCTCCACAAACACATAAACCAAAACATAATCAACGCTGCGCTCTGCTTCTCAAGCCCTTCCAAACTCAGCACTAACCTACTCCTTCATAAGAAGTCAGGTTTCTGTAACGGCAGACACACTCCCTGCTTAAACCTGCACCCCTGGCTATCCTGTGATGCCAAGCCACCCGAGACCCAAGACTGCCTCCTCCCCAATCCTTCACCAATAACTCCTCTCACTGGCTCCTAGTAGATATAAAATGCCTTCTCCTCCACTGGGTGGATAAAAAAACCACAGACTATCCAACCCACCCCCCATGCACCTCTTCAACCACTCACCGCAGCTGCCCCAGCAGGGACTTTAGGAGTATGGCTTCTAAAGGACAAAAAATCTACATACTGTGTTAACATGCACAGTCAGATCTGCCTGCCAAGCCAAGGCGTCTTCTTCCCACGCGGTGCCTGCCTTCATATCTGCCTTCTCACCAACTGGACTGGCGCCCGCACCTTAGTCTTCCCTCCATAAAATCGGTATCACCCCAGGAAACCAATCCTTGCCTATCCCGTTGACACCCTCACCCAACACCATAAAGCAATACAGTTTATACCCTTGCTTCTAGAAATAGGAATAGAACAGCCAGACTATCCCCACCTCCCTTTCATACTGTTACTCTTTCCAAAAACCTCACAGACAGTATAGAAGACACAGCCAAATCCACTTCAACACTCCAAACACAATCACATTCACTAGTGGCAGGTATGCTGCAAAATCACAGAGGCGTCGATTTCCTTAACCAAAAAAGGAGGCCTCTGCTTTTTTTTTTTTTTTTTGGAATTTTTTGTAGAGACCAGAGTTTCGCCATGTTGCTCAGGATGGTCTTGATCTCCTGACCTCATGATTTGCCTCCCAAAGTGCTACGATTACAGGTGTGAACCACTGCACCTGGCCAGCCTCTGCATTATTTTCTTAGATGAACAATGCTGTTTTTATCTCAACCAATCTGGAATAGTACAAAATGTGGTCAAAAGACTCAAAGGCTGAGCCCAAAAACTAAAAGAAAACAATTCTTCTGCCTGGCCCAGCTGGTCTCCCAGCTCTGGGGCTGCTATAACTCTCCTCTTCCTCTTAGTCTTTGTCACGTTCGTATTATGCCTTTTCACCCAGTTTCTACAGAATCAAATGAAAGCTTTTAACTGTGGTACGATACGGACATAATAATGTTCCACGGCTACCAACTTGCAAGCCAGCATCATCCAACGTCCCTGCTGAGCACGAGGTGGCTAGAAAAAGCAATGCGCCTTTATCCCTTTCTTTCATATATATAACAAACGACTGGAAACGTTAGGATCACGTGACAGGCCCATAGCTCTCCCCCACACTCACCCCTATCAAGCCAAGCTTGTAACAGAAACAACCTCAGGCCTTGTAAACAGCGCACCTAGGTTTCAGGATGTGGTCGCACCTGGCTCTAGAACTCAGGATGTTGACCCCAATGAACCTTGTCAGCCCTAAGAACCAGAATACGGTTTTACTGAGAACAGCATCCGGCCACAGGCAAACTCCCTATAACCCGCATAGTCTGTAAGCCAGACTGCTGCCTTTCCTGCCTGTGGTGAGGCAGCCTGGCAGGCTGAATAAACTTGCTAAACCTGACCTTGGGTCTGTCTCTCCTCTTCATGAGCTTACACCAACCTCAAGTGACCCGCCCACCTCAGCCTCTCAAGCGCTGGTATTATGGGCATGAGGTACAGCACATGGTCTTTATTCCTTTTTTTTTTTTTTGAGATGCAGTTTGCTCTGGTCCAGGCTGCAGTGCAATATCGCAATCTTGGCTCACTGTAACTCCCCCTCCCAGGCTCAAGCAGTTGACCTGCCTCTGCCTCCCTAGTAGCTGGGACTAGAGGCATGTGCCACCACACCCAGGTAATTTTTGTATTTTTAGTAGAAACGGGGTTTCTCCATGTTTGTCATACTGGTGTCGAACTCCTGACCTCAGGTGATCCACCCGCCTCAGCCTCCCAAAGTGCTAGGATTACAGGCATGAGCCACTGCACCTGGCCTCCTTTTTCCCTATTTCAAATAG